TCCTGACCATCACTGGGATTCTGACCAACTCACCTGAACTTTCTTGACCTCTTCTTAACTTGTAAAATAATAGGTTTGAACTAGATGGCTTTCCAGGGCCTGTATGGATTTAAATGGAACATACTAGGAGCTTCCCTTGATTGTCAAATGAAAATATCAACATATCAAATGAAAAACAAAAATTGTATGAAATGTTTTGTTAGTCATTTATGAAAATGCTTTCCAGCATGTATAGACTCAACATAATCATAGTCAAATGCAGCAAGTAAGAAACACACACATACACACACACACACACACACACACACATACATGCCCTACACTAAAGTGATATAAATCATATAGTTGTTGCAATGAGATATTGTTTAGGCTGTTATTTTATTTAAACAAACATTTTTGACCTTTTAGTTAAATTTATAAAGCACAATGAAGCCTGAACATTTCATATATCAATAAGAGTCCTCTTCCAATTAACTTCTTGGTCATTTTATATCCTTTCATGTATACCATCTCTATCCTCTTAAATTTTATTTTTTAATTATTTTAGGGGGCTGTCAAGCATTCTTTCTTCTACTGCCACATTTCCTTGAGGGGAGGGGGAAGAAATGAAAACTTTGGAACACAAAAGCATAGTCAAGCAAAGCAAATTCCCACATTGCCCATGTCCAAAAATACATATCTAGTTCTGTATAGAAGTCCATCATCATTCTGTCAGGAGGTAGATATCATTTTATTGAGTCCTTTGGAAACATTATGCAGATCAAAATTCACAATTATTCTTTTATTACAGTCTTATTGTTATAGTATAATTGTTCTACTACTTCTGATCAGTTCAATCAGAATCATTTCATACAAGTCTTCCTAGGTTTTTCTGAAACTATCTCTTCCATCATCATAAACACAATGATATTCCCCTACATTAATATACCATAATTTGTTCAATCATTCCCTAAATGATGGGCACATCCTAAATTTATGGTTCTTTGCCACTACAAAAAGAACTGTTATAGATGTTTTTGTGAATATGTATCCTTTTCTTCTTTGTTGTCTTTGGGTATAGGACTAGTAAGTGATATGGGTGATTCAAAAGGTATATGTAGTTTGGTAACTTTTGGAGCAGATTTTAAAATTCATTTCTATAATTCCTTGGCTAATCTACCCTTCCATCTATCTATATCAGTCTGCCCACTTTCCTGCAGCCCCTCCAAGATTTGTCATTTTCCCTTTTTGTCATTTTTGCTGATCTAATGTGAGGAGGAGCTTCAAAATTGCTTTAATTTGCATGTCTTTATGAGTAATTTGGAGCATTTTTTTCACATAGTTATTGATAAGCTAAATTTCTTTCCTTGAGAACTGGCTGTTCGTATCCTTAAAACATTTTTCAAAAGACTCTCATTCTTACAAATTAGAATCAATTTCTTATATGTCTTAGAAATGAGATTTTTTTTTTGAGGCAATTGGGGTTAAGTGACTTGCCCAGGGTCATATAGCTAATAAGTATCAAGTGTTTGGTCTGAGGCCACATTTGAAATCAGGTCCTCCTGAATTCAGGGCTGGTGCTCTATTCACTTCTCCATCTGGCTATCCCAGAAATGAGATCTTTATCAGAGAAACCAGTTGCCAGATTTTTTCCCAGTTAACTTTTCATCTTAGTTGTATTAGATTTGTTTGTGCAAAAACTTTCTCAATTTTATGTAATCAAAATCAACCAATTCTATCCTTTGTAATCCTTCCTTTTCATGATTTAGTCATGAAATAATGACTATCCATAGATATCCATATCTATAATCTAAAAGTATTTTCTTTCTTGTTCTTCTAGTTTTATTTATCATGAAACCATTCATATCCAGGTCACATATGCATTTTTGTCATTTATTTTTATATATGATGTGATATATTGTTCTAAACCTGATATCTACCATGTTGCTATTCATTTTCCCCACAGGTTTTGTTAAATAGTGAGTCCTTAGCCCAGTAGCTAGGCTTTTTGTGTTTATTAAGCCCTAGACTACTAGAGTAGTAGTAGATGCTGTTTTCTATATGTTTTGTGCCTAATTTAGTCAGCTAATCTACTTGTAGTATGGCTTGAGACAAAGGACTGCTAGGCCTTCTTCCTTCTTATCTTTTTCTTCCTTCATTATTTTCCTTGACATTCCTGACCTATTGTTATTGTTTTTCCCCCCCGCTAATTCTATAAATTTTTCTTTGGTAGTTAGATTGGTATGGCACTGAATAAGTAAATTAATTCAAGCAGTATTATGATCTTCATTATATTGAGTTGGCCTACCCATATCAATTAATATTTCTCAAATTATTGGGGTCTATCTTCATTTCCTAAGAGAGAATTTTGTATTTATATTGCTTTTCTTGTGTACATCTTGAGAGGGAGACTCCTAAGTACTTAACTCATCATTGTTTTAAATGTAATTTTTCTATCTTTGCCTGCTGGATTTTGTTAGTTAATGTAACAGAAATATTGATGACGTGTGTGGATTTATCTTATATTTTCCTTCTTTGATGAAGTTATTTTTTCAATTAAATTTTGACAATCTAGGGAATCTGCAAAAGTTATCTGTAAAAAATGATACTTTTGTTTACTCTTTTCCTATGACTATTCTCTTTGAACAAGAATGGTTGTTAGATCTTGGCCAACACATTTTTTTCTGCATCTGTTGATAAAACCACACTTTTTATTTTCCTCATTACTAATATGGCTTATTATGTTTATAGTTTTCCTAGTAGTAAACCTGTATTCCTGGAATAAATCTAACCTTGTCATAGTATATAATCTTTTTGGAAAGTTTCTATACTCTCTTTGCTAATATTTTATTTAAACATTTTCATCTATATTCATTAGAGATATTGTCCTTCTCTCTCTCTCTCTCTCTCTCTCTCTCTCTCTCTCTCTCTCTCTCTCTCTCTCTCTCTCTCCTCCTATCCTGTCTTCTTGGTTAAGTAACAAAATGTTAGAAGGAATTTGATAGGATCCTGTTAGGGACTGGCTAGGCTGGTCCCCTATAGGTTGAGGTTTAATGTTGGAATGAAATAAGATGCTTGTAGATCATTTAACAATTAACAAAAAGATTACTTAACCATAATAAAGAAAGTATATCCAAGAAAGATACGGCAACACTTAGCTTAATTGGTTTCCCCCTTCTACCAATATTGAAATATGTCTAGTTGATAGGACAGCATGTGGTGATTCCTGAGGTCTTGGAACATATACCAAGTCTGAGGGGCCCAAACTCCAAGTGGATCAACTTTTTATCCCCATAGATCATCTGTATGCCTTTTAAGTATGTCAAGAGTATATCAGGAAGCTGGTTCAAAGGAGTCACACCTTGAGTCTCAGTTTCCTGAACCATATAAGTACCAGAGGAAACTTTGTTTCTTTTAGGCATTAACTAGTCCAATTTGTATGACAGAAGGGGTTAGAAAAGGTCTCATTTTCCTGTTACTGCAAATAGTTTATGTAATATTGTAATTAGTTGCTCCTTGAATTTTTGATAACTTCTAAACCATCTGCTCTAGAATTCTATCTACCCTTTTTGAGAACTCAGTCATGGCTTGTTCACTTGGTGCTGACACCATTATAATTTACTTCTGTATGACGATGAGACATGACCTCCCTCTTGATGAACAAGCTGGGAAGTGCATATGACAGTATTTTATTGAAGGTGCTGGCTCACTCAGGAGCAGGAGCAAGTAGAGAAAACAAGTTAAAGGAAGAAAAGACAAACAATGGGCAGTCCTACCATAGTCTTATTTCCACATGTTTTTCTTAAATTTATTGGTTTGGATCTGTTACATTTGAGTTGCTGTAGAGCCAGCATGTGGACATAACATATTATGAGTGGGAAATGGGATTCTGTATCTTAAAAGACAGGTCAAAACTAGAATTTATGCATCAACTTCAAGGTTTAGATGAAGTTGGGTGGGGAGGGTGAAGAATGGTGCAGTGAGAGGAATACAACAGTTGTAAGAGCCACAGAAAGCTCAAACAGAATGAAAACTGTGGGAGAAGAGGGAGGGAAGGGAGAAAAAGGCCATTGGATTTTAGCAGGTTCTTCTAAGCTGGGGAGACATTTATTCATCCAAGGATCATCCTTAGCTAAATTCTAAGTATCTTATTATCAGAAGGTTATCTATAATGTAATAGGTTGTTTTTTCAGCCACAGAAACTTATGAAACCATCTGCTAAAGTCTGAAAGAATTTCAATCTATGTAAGTAAAAGAAGTCTCCATATTGATTAAATCATGGATCTTTTAAAATAATGACACATGTAGATCCATATGAAAAAATATGTCACAACTGCACATTTGTTTCATATACCTTTACCTGACTACAAGTTTAGCTAGCTTTACCTTTATAAGGGAGCTTTAACATTGAAATGGAAGGATAAAATATAAGCTGTGAAGGCAATAAAAACTAAAATTATTGCTAGTTATGAAAATAAAATAAGAAAAGTTATTGAAAGTAATAATCAATGAAAGTATTTAATACTTTTTTCCTTGGAAAATTCAGCATAGGAATGCAAAAAAAATTATAATAGTCATATACTCAGATATAAATTTTGTGGTTGTTCATTGAGATTTGTATTTGGGAACTCTGGTATTTAAGTTCATTCTTGCCCTAATAACTTTAATTTTGTGCTTTTAAAATAAAATGTTGAAAGTTATTCTTGTATTTGATTTTACTTTCAGCTGAGAGAAAATCTTTTAAAATTATTTTATGGTATTTTCTTTTTAAAAGGTAACACAAATAAAAGCATATAACAATAATAGTACCTTCAATATTCCATTTAAAATCCAAAGAAACTCTATAAATATAAATTGTATTTTGCTATTTTTTCCTTAAAGCATTCATTTTATTTTCTTAATGTTTTATTACTTTATTTCTAAATATATTTAATCTTTGGGCAAACATGTAATTAGCAACTGTATTACTTAGGGTTTTTTGTCAAAAGAAATAATCTGAAAAACTGCTATTTATATTTTAGGTTAACAGGCTGGTTTGGTCACAAACTTGAGAGTAGATTTGACATGGATAACAGTAAGTATATTTAAGTTACATATGATATTTATTTTTGCTTAATTTTAAAATTCTACTAGGCTTAAAATATGCCAGATATAGGCCCTTTGACAATTTAATCCTTTTTTTTCTTTGTAATTTCTTTTAAAACAGTAAGGATGCTTATATAATGTTAAAAAAAAAACCAAGAGTTTTATTATATAAGGTGGAGAGGAGGGCTATCATCATAAATATGGAACATTCAGTATGTGATTACAAATTAATGAGACATTATTATTTGTCTCTGCTGCCCTTTATTTTCCCCCAAAACCATATGGTCCCCATCACACTGGACATGGATATGCCTATGTGTATTGTACCCTAGTAGATAGACTAGGGAAAGAGAACATAGAAGCTATTTTATTGTGCTTGTAGCAGATTCATAGTTAACTATTTCATCATAAGTATTATTCCTTCACTTGGTATTATTTGACTATATGGAATGAGGCAAACTATTTGAAATGTTACCATTGGTTTCAAATTTGAATTCATTCATAAAGATTTTCAATAGAAAGCTTCACTCAATGAACATAAATTGTCATGGAAGGAAATTTAAAAAAAAATTTTTCTTGAGCCAGAACCAAATAACATGTGAGGAACTAAGAATACATTACTTAATTCTTTTTCTAAATGTTTCATGGCTGTCATTCATTAGCAGTCTTTAAGATGTTCATAAAAAATCTCCTTCTAAAGGTGTGTTTAACTGGAACATAGCTACTAGCTACTTGGGGAACTACTACACCTGTCAACTGATCTCAGTGTAAAAAAAATACAGAATTGAGAGTATATTATAAAAATCATTTTGGATTCTAAGGTGATAATGATATAGAATAGTGAAAACACAAACACTGATTTGGTGTCAAAAAAAATCTGTGTTCAGATTTAAGCTGTCACGTACATATGGTTTTGTATCCCAGGCTCCTAGCTTAGAGCTTGGCACATAGTAGGTGTTTGATAAACACTTGTTGAATTGAATTAACTCTCTAAGGTTGATTCCATGTCTGAAACTCTATGATTCTATTTTTTAAAAAATTCAAGAGAGCCAGAATTTTTTAAATGATCTTTAGTTCTATAACCTAAGATATAGTATTCATTCTCATTTGCCTCACATAGTTCCTATAGTCCTCAAGAGGAAAGCAAACGCTTCTTGTTATGATTGGTTTCTATTTTTGAGTAATATTTTCTGATTATAGCCAAAACAAACAAGAATCTTTTAAATAAGTATAGAATAGAGACTTCTGAAAGCAAGATACTATTGTAGAATGTTAAGAAATAAGGAATGGAACACTGCACATTCATGATTTTCCTCCTAAATCTCTAATCACTCCTTTTTTTTCTCTTTGCATTTCTTCTTCCTATGTCATATAAAGGTGCAGTCAAAGAATCTGCCCTTATCCTTTGTCTCTGTCTTGAGATTTTCTCCCTCGGCAATTATATTTATTCTCAGGGTATATCACTTCTAGGCCGATAACTTTCAAATCTATGTCTCCATCTCCAATTTTTAAAATTCCAAACACCATTTCTAATTGTTTTTTGGGAATGTTTTCCTAGACATGCCTGAAGTCCAACAAGTCTGAAACAAAATTCATCATCTTCCTCCTTAAACCAGCCTTTTCAACTGATTCCACCTAATAAGCTACCCTATTTGTTAATGGTGCTAATTTTATTCTATATATACTCAAAGTTTGGAGTCATCTTTGATTACTCCTCCCTAATTCCCTCACATTTAATCAAGTATCAAGTCCTATTAATTCTATTACTCTAACATCTTCACATTTGTTCCCTTTTTTTCTGCTTTATTATTATTGCCCTAGTTCAGGTCCTCATTTTGTCACCTGAATTCATAGGTACACATAGAGCATACACGAATATTCTGATGGATATTTAATAACTGCATTTTGGTGGGAGTGTGTGGAAAGGTAGAGTACATAGAACAAACAAAACAAACAGCTGTTAAATTTAATCTCTATTATTAACATTTTCTCCAACACTGTCTTAAGTCTGGACAATCAATAAAATAATAAATCAAGCCTTGATGTTTAGCATTTGCCAGTTTCAATGAAAATTGAACAATTGGCTGCTTTGAGCTGGTATGAGCCAACTCCAGCACAACAATGAGTGGAGGACAGGTCACCTGGCTCACACCCAGTGCATTTCCATGCCTAGAAGATTGTAAAAGATGACCAGTGTCCTTGCCCCCAATCTCTTCTTTTTCAAACCACTCTTACATACTATTTCAAAGTGATATGTTTTCCTGATGCAGAGGTCTAATCATGTTACTTATTCAATCTTCAGTGACTCCCACTGCTTATTAAAAAAACCCAGTCTTTATTAAATGGTTAGTTTAGAATTCTAAGCCCTCAATGCTCTGGTTCTACCTTACCTTTACATCCTTTTAATGATAACATTTTTGTTTTATTTATTTTTATTCATTGAAAGAATGCCTTCCCTTCAGTATCTGAGTGAGACATGTTGCATTGTTGTTCTCAATTTACTAATAAGGACATTGAGGAATAGAGAGATAGACTTCTCTTGGTTCCACAGGTGCTAAGCATCAGTACGAAGACCCAAGCCCAGATCTTTTTGATTCTAAGATTCTGCTTTGCCCACTTTGTCATGCTCCCTCTTTCACATGAATATTTTAGCTTCCTTTCAAGAATTAGCTCGATGCTTCCTCTTAAAGAAAGACATTTTTATCTTTTTATTTGTTAGTGCTCAATCTCTAGAGCACTGGGCTTGGAATTAGGAAGATATCTTTGTGAGTTCAAATCCAGCCTCAGACACTTACTAGTTGTGTGATCCTGAGAAAGTCACTTAGCCTTGTTTGCCTCAGTTTCTCATCTGTAAAATGAGCTGGAGAAGGAAATGGCAAACCACTCTAGTGTCTCTGCCAAGAAAACCCCAAAATGGGTCATGAAGTGTCAGACATGACTGAAACAGCTGAACAACAAACGCTCAGTCTCTCCTAAAATTATTTTGTAATTATTTGCATGTTCTATTCCCCAAAAGAAGTACTGGCTGTTGAGGGCAGGGACTCTTATTTTTGTCAATTTACTCTCCAATGAATTGCACCAAGCAAGTGCTTGAACACTTGCTTTCTTCAAATACTCTCTATTCCTACCAACCTTACTATTCATCGTGCTCTGAACTTTTCCTGCTCTTCTTGCAAAACTAGGCAATTCATCATTCTCTGATATTTTCCAGATCTTCTCCCTCAATTTCTGAATTGGCTTACGGCAAACCACAAATCACTCACCACCCCTCTTTATTTCTGCCTACTGTCCTTTCAGATCTAGCTACATGTGTAACTTTATGAAGTTTTCCCTGATCCATCCAACTTGAAATGTTCTCTTCTTCAGGTCTCTTTTAGCATTTTATTTGTACCTCATATATTCTTATAATATTCCACTTTATATTATGATCATTTGTGTCTATATTTTATGACCCCTGCAAGATTAAAATTCCGTGAGAACAAATACTGTATCTTACCCATATTTTATTTAATCTGGCAGTGCCTAGCTAATGTATCGACTATAGTAGACTCTCTGTCTCTTTGTCTCTCTGTCTCTCTCTGTATATTATTTATGTGTATATATATATATATCTATATATATCTATGCATGTGTGTATATATGTATATGTGCTTGTGTATATGTATGTATATATTTGTTGAATTAAAAATTGATTTGAATTAAGTTAAATTTAAATGGTTTAAAATGTAAAGTGGGTTAAATGCATTAAATTCTATGGAATAAAAAATATGGTAAGTTGTATTATTTCAAAATTTGACCAGTGTCACCTTAGTAAGGTTCAGAATGCATTGCTGAAGACACAATTCGAATGGATTTGCCGTAGAAACAGGAGGTGAGACCAGGATTTTATTTTTACAGCATATGTGACAAACTGTTTACCTTCAGATGTATAGGATATTTGGTATAGTCGAAAGGATGTTCGGCTGGCTGTTAGGAGAATAACTCTGCTAGTAGCCTACTTCATGACCTTAAGCAAACCGTTTAAGTTCTTCATAAGTTAAAGGTATTGTTTTAAATTCTTAGACCTTTTCTAATTCAAAGATTCTATGAGTTAATGTTAGTCTATTTTTGAAATAACAAATTTGCTGTGCATTAATAATAATAATAATTGCCAATAATTTGCTTTTGTAAGAAGTTCAAAAGGATAATTTTAAAATCATAATGCTATATGCAGTACACAACTATTTAATGGAAAATTGTTGTTTTTAGTAATGAGATAATATTTGTAAAGTGCTTATCACAGTGCCTGGAAAATAGTAGGTGCTAGATAAATGCTACTGATGATGATGAATGATTTTTTTCATTTTTGTCTCATCATAGCTTAACTTATTAAATAGATAATTTTGATGTCAGTTTTTTCACCTTTAAAAGCAGACCTTATAATTTAAAAATGCATACTGAAGACTCTTAGATTCAAGAAATGATTTAGTCTATCCCTTCCTTGTGTCTTCAGGCAGAAGACTAAACCAAGACAAAGATTGATATTCTTATTATAGAATGTTTTAATGTAAACATTCTTTTATGATAAAATCAGAATATAATTTTGAGAAATAAAGTTCATTGTGACATTGATTCTTTTTTAGTTTAGTAGATCTCTTCTCATTCTACTTTTTATATGGCAAAACTTTGACAAGTAGGATTATTTTCACTTTTAAACAAACATGCAGGAAAAAGGGTCTTTGCTCCTTAATAGAAGTAACAATTATATTAAGCACTCTTCAATAGGCCCCAATCTGCCATTTTCATTTTATCTCTCCCTGCTTCCCCACACAGAAAACCTTTTAGTAAATATAGTCTTTTAACTTAACCTCGGCTGGGATTCTTATAATCTAGTTACTGCTCAGATTCTTAAAAATCTAGCCAATAGCTTACTAATGTTCAGGTTCCTTAACTGTCTGCCCAATATGATGGATATTCTAATAAACCTTGTCTTTGGCTGAAAGAAGGCTTAGGTGAATTCTTTTGGACAGGACTGCATGTTGTGATTTTGGGGTCCCAGCACCCCTGGAACCCTAAACCACATCAGCTCAGGGTCCTTCCCTAGGATCATCCACATCTTTGGAACTGGAGGTGGCCTGTTTGAATACAGAGCTAGTCTGTTGGCTAGACATGGTTTTGCTGTGCTGGCCCTGGCATACTATGCCTTTGAGGACCTTCCCAAAGACATGAAGGAACTTCATTTGGAATACTTTGAAAAGGCTGTCCAGTACCTGAAAAACCACTCCCAGGTAAAGGGTCCAGGAGTTGGGCTGCTTGGATTTTCCAAAGGGGGTGATCTGTGCCTCTCCATGGCCTGCCATTTGAAGGACATCATGGCTACTGTCACCCTCAATGGCTCTGTGGCAAATGAAGGGTCTGCACTACACTATAAGAGTATGACCATTCCCCCACTGGGTAGTGACCCAGAACATATCGAGATGACTAAAGATGGGTTTGCAGACATCGTTGATGCTCTCAACAACCCTTTGGAGGAACCCAACCAAACAAGCTTAATTCCAGTTGAGAAGGCTGAGAGTTGCTTCCTGTTTTCGTCTTCCTGGATGACCATAACTGGAAAAGTGAATTCTATGCCAACGAAGCTGCCAAATTGTTACAAGCCCATGGGAAGAAAAAACCCAAGATTATCTGTTACCCTGCAACAGGACACTATATTGAGCCCCCATATTTCCCTGTGTGCCTGGTTTCCTTTCATAATTTGGTGGGCAAACTTGTGATCTGGGGAGGAGAAGTTAGGGCCCACTCCATGGCCCAAATCAATGCTTGGAAACAACTCCAGGCCTTCTTCCACAAACATTTAGGAAATGATAACAAAATCCCTCGAATTGTAACTCGCCATTTAGAATTTAAAATAGTATATGCTAAAGGTGTATTGAGATGATGCCAACTGGAGAGATTATTTTTAGAATAATTGGAATAGGCTTTTTTCTCATCAATAAGATAAAGTCAAATGTAATAATAATTTTAAAGCTCTTAAATTTTTTTTAAGTAAACAGTTTTCCCCAAGGAATAAAATAATAATTTTGTGAAACAAACAAACAAAAACTTTACCTCAAAATTACACCTGTTTCTACCTCAACAACCAATATCTACCTGTCCTTTCTTCTTATCTAATTCCTATACATCCGTCAAGACTTCTACAAGTTTCAGCTCCTCAATAAAGCCTTATCATCTCATCTCAACTGATTGTGAACTTGCCTGTGACCTGATATAATACAAATTATCTGTCTCATTTGTTTGGTTCTTAACAAATGCTGTCATTTGCTTATAGACCTAGAAAGAGCTAAACTATCTATACTCATGAATGTAATGTTTAAAAAATAAAGAATATGAAGTATTTAGAGAATGATGGAAAGATATTCATATGAACTGTTACAGCATGAAATAATGTGAATGGAAAGAACAAAAAATAGGACCCGAAATTGTATAATTATAATTAGCAAGGTTAACTCCAAAGGAGTTAAGAAAATGTACCTCCCTCACTTCCTTGCAGAGGTAGATTACTGCAATTATACGTATCATCAGACTTGATTGATGTGTTGGTTATTTTTTCTCAACTGATCTTTTTCTCTCTTCCCCCCCCCTTTTTTTTGCTACAAATAATTATTTGCTGGGTAGGAGAAGGGGAGATATTCAGAAGTGAAGGAAATGTAAAAAAACATATTAATAGATTTTTTAAAAAAAGTTGTCACACATTATTTTTCTATTTATATTTATATATGCATAAATGCACGCACAAGTATAAATCTTTCTTCCTGGTAGAAGATTTATTTTATTTTATTTTATTTTATTTTTGGCTAGGCAATGGGGTTGAGTGACTTGCCCAGGGTCACACAGCTAGTAAGTGTTATGTGTCTGAGGCCGGATTTGAACTCAGGTCCTCCTGAATCCAGTGCCGGTGCTCTATCCACTGCGCCACCTTGCTGCCCTGGTAGAAGATTTCTTGACAATGGCAATTGGTTTTCATATTTCTTTATAGTTCTTTCCCCATAATGCCTAGCATACTTTATATATAATAGAAACTCAATGAATTTATATTTCTTAATTTATATGAATTAAATCCGTAATGAAAACCAAAACCAAATCTTTTGGCTGCATATCAGATTATTTATTTCTGTGGAGACTAAGCATAAATTTATATAGATACTCCAAAATTTTTGAGTAGTACTCAATAAACTAACTCAAAAAATATTTCACAAACTTATGAAAGAGTGGGTACGTTAGCCCCACTATTTTAATGATTACTTTCATGAATAGCCTTTTCTTTGTCATATAATATTAAAAGTGTTATAATGTTAATTTTCCAGAGCTGGACTTGATCCCAGGTGTCAATGGATATCGACTATCAAATCCCCCTATTTTGTTGGTTTGTGCCTTAGAAGCTGGTTTAGAGGTAAGTGATTCTATATATTGTGTTTGTACCTTATTTTATCCACATATTTAACCTATTCTCTATTTTTGTGCTGTTATAATCAGTTAGTTTGGGAGAACACAAAAATTAGACGTAAGTTCAGTGAATAGGTTTAATTCCCCAAAGCTCGGTATAGTTTCTCTTACTTGCCATTATATGTCACTTGTGAGGACCTTTGTAAAATATTTAGTGTTTGTTTGTTCATTAGATGGTGCTTATGCTCTTTGCCAGACTGAAGAGTTTTTTTTTGTTCTGTTTTTTTAATGCTTGTATGGTACCTTGTTAGTGTCCATTTGACCAAGGACAAAGGTCTTTGAGGAAGGACCTTAGATAAAAGTCTTTGAAAATACTAGTTTTTATCTGAATTACTTATTCATAAGCTCTCATATGCTTTCAGAACACAATTCAAAATCAATCTAAATAGGGACTTTATTGCTTCTAATGATTTTCTGATAGGAGATTACTTGTACTACCAAGTATAGTGAGGCATACTTGAAGAAAGAACTCTAGCTTAGAGATTCTTCTTCAGAATTCCCTTAACAAGAAGTTTCCTATTAGACTTTTCTTGAAGTTTTCTTCTAGAAGGGCTAGCTAGTCTTTCTAATATGCCTTTTCTGGAATGTGGTAGCTTTATAGCTTCCTTTTCCACCACCAGTTCTACTAGCCCAGAACTTTACTTCTCCTATTCATAATGTCCATTTGCCTGAATTTTTAATACCTCAGTTTTTAAAATTAAAACTTGAAGGAACACAAAACCAACAAAGAGGTATCACGTCAGTTGGCATTATTTCCTTCCTTTCAGCTTATTCTTTCTCTGGTCTCTAATTGTGCTTCTTCAGATGGCAGGAGCTATTCTAACTAAGCTAATCTTATTCAAATAGATTTTCTTTTGAGAGAGCATTTTAAAAAATATTCTCTAACCATATGTAGCATCTCAGGGGACCCACTCAATCCCACCTCCCACCTCACACATTGAGCAACCCAGAAAAATACCCCAGATTCAAGGTACTTGTTGGACCTCCAGTCACTCAAAATTATAGCTTATGCATCCTTGCTTTCAACAGTCAGGCAGAGAATAATATTAGTGCAAAGTAAATGAATTGATGAGATAGCATAGTCATAAAAGTAACAAAAAAGCACTTCTCTCACAAACTTGAAGATAATGCTCAAACAAACTCATGATGGGGAGGAAGAATGGATACACCTAGGGAACACATGGCAATGGACATACATATAGGAGACACACAGTGGACTTATATGGCCAGGGGCTGGGCCAGTTCCTTACTAGTTTAATGTAGTTTATTGCTAGATGACATATGGTACTCCATATGTCATCTGGTTGCTGGCAGACATAGCTCTTCTGGACTTGTGGTTTTGAAGCTTCTTTCTGAGTCTGGTTTCTGATTTCAGCTGTCCTTAGCTCAAGTGAGCTCTCCCATCTCTCTTTTAGCTTAGAGCCCAGATGCTCTTAGGAGGCAAGACCTTCATACATTCAAAGTCAGACTAGAAAAAAGCCTTAATTTCTTTCACTCTCTGTTATCTGTAGTACCTGCAAAGAGCTCTGGGAGACCCTTGCTCTCCAGAAGAAGAGTTCTTGCAAAGTTATTATAGAACACATAATATCTAGCTAGGGTGAACTTGAAGATATTGTCTGTCTTTTAACTTACTATATCTGGGGGCAGAATCTCTGATAGAGTGAGAAGGCTCTCCTAACAACAATTCTTGGTTGCCAGTTTCACTCCCTTCAAAATAATTTTCAGGGACTTCCTTTTCAAGAAAAAATTAATAATAGTGGCAATCTGGGTCTCAAGTTCTAAGTTTTTTCTACCCTAGCCTCTCACCCCCAAGATCCTTTGGTCTCCCATGCAAATGAAAGAAAGAACAGAAAGGATATTACAAAAAAAAAATGAATGCATTAGGCATGCCCCCACCTTCCTAAATCCTTTCTTTCAAATTGATGTCTTTCATCTAGTAGGCTTGCTGTAACTCCCAGCCTTCCAACATATGCAAATTTGATGAAGTTACTATTTACGTCTTTATCTAAGTCACTGAAGAAAATGTTAAATAGAGGCAGCTAGGTGGCACACTAGATACAGCACAGGCCCTGGAGTCAGGAGGACCTGAGTTCAAATTCAGCCTCAGACATATAACACTTGCTAGCTGTGTGACTCTGGGCAAGTCACTTAACCCCAATTGCCTCAAAAAAAAAATGTTAAACAGAACGGGGCCGAGTAGAGACCTTGGAGGTACTCCACAGTAGAGTTGACATTAAACCATTAACATCTGCTCTTTGAATTCTGACTCCTGATTGCATTATTGCCTAATCCATATTTCTCCATCTTCTTTACAAGAACAGTATGAGATATTTTATTTTAAAAATTGGTAAAATCTAGGTAAATTATATCCTTGCCCAAGAGGTTTCAGTAACTCCCTATTATATTCAAGGTAAAATGCAAACTCCTCTTTTTGGCATTTAAACCTCATCCTATCTTTCCAAACTGAGTTCCCATTACAAAACCAAACATGCTTCTGTTCCAGCCCAACTTACTTCCTCGATGTTCCCTACTCCCATTTCATCTCCTGCCTTTACGCCTTTTTAGAGGCTGATAACATACGTGCCTGGAATGCTCTCCCTTCTACCTTTTCTTCTCTGATTATTTAGCTCTCATCAAAGCTCATCCATAGTGAATTCTTGCTTCTTCTCCTTATTAGTATTCCTCCTTGCCACTTCATTAGAGAGAAATTTTCTTTGAGGCCATCAGTAACCGTGGCTGTTGAGGAAGCAGGTACTGCAGTACTTGTGAAAGCAGTTGTAGAATTGGATTTTGTTAGAATATGTTCCATGATAGGACAATGGACAAAGGTGCCTTTTTTTTTTTTTTGCCTTGGCAGTGGGGTTAAGTGGCTTGCCCAGGTCACACAGCTAGTAAGTATCAAGTATCTGAGGCCAGACTTGAACTCAGGTCCTCCTGACTCAGGGGCAAGTAACCTATCCACTGTACCACTTAGCTGCCCCACAAGGGTTTTGATAATAGAGCATTAGTGTAGAGTTGAACTGGTTCACCAAGAGGTACAACAGAGGTGATGGCCAGGGAAAGAAATGAGGAGTTAAAGGAATGGAGGTTATAATAAGGAAAATACAGGATTAGGAATCCTAAAGCATTGGGCAAGATAAAATGACAAAAAAAAATGCTAAATAGAAGAATTTTGGAGTTTATGGACATGGAAGAGAAATATTTGAATCTCTAGTGCCTGGCCAAGTGTGGGTACATAATAGGTACTTAATAAACACCTAGTGATTGTGATGGGGTTAGGAAGACAACTATAAATAGTCATGGCTATAGATTAACAATGAAGCTTTTTAAAAACAACTTTTTTTTCCACATTTATTTATAGAGACATAAGACCAAAAACTCTTTTTGGTCTAAACTCAATATTTAAATTCAGTCTTAAATGTGTCCTAATATTCTTTGAACATTAATTTAATATTTAAAATGATATATTTAATGGTTCTTATATTCAGTGCACTAAACTAGACACTAGATAATCATACAAAAATTCTGGAGCTTCTAATTGACATACAATGATTATTATGCAACACACCATGCCTCTTTAAAGAACATCACCATAATGAAGAGATTTAAAAATCCTAGCTCATTGGAGTCAACTAAAATATTTAGAGTCATTGGATTATATATTTAGAGTTAGAAAGAATTATAGAGGTCATCTAGTCTAACACCCTTATTTTACAGTTGAGGAAACTCAGGCCCAGAAGCATCAAATGACCTTCCCAAGGTCACACAGGAAATACTCAAGAAAGGACAGGTTTGCCAAAGGAAATGATTGGGATTAACAGTTGGCCAATGAAGAGAGATAATCTGAGTAATTTAGAAGAAAATTAGCAGTTTAAAATTCAATTCAATTCAAAAAACGTGGTAAACGCTGTGTGCAGCGCAAACTAATATATCAATAATAATAATAATAATAAATTTAAGGTTTGCCAAGGATTTTACAAATATGTCATTTGATCTTCACAGCAATCCTTTGCTATTATTATTCTCATTTTAGGTGCTTTTTTAATCTCCATGTAGATGAACAAACTGAGCTAGACAGATGTTAAATAACTTGCCTAGGTCACCCAGCTAATAAGTATCTTGAATTCAGGTCTTTCTGCTCACAGACCTAGAGCTTTATTGACTCTTTCAAAGGTAGTCAAGGAAATTGAGTCTAATATTGGCAGAAGGAAACCACTATTAGAATATGAATAATTGGGGCAGCTAGGTGGTGCAGTGGACAGAGCACTGGCCCTAGAGTCAGGAGGACCTGAGTTCAAATCTGGACTCAGACACATGACACTAGCTGTGTGACCCTGGGAAAGTCACTTAACCCTGATTGCCTCATCAAAAAGCTAAATAAATAAATAAATGAATGAATGAATGAATAAACAAACAAATAAATAAATAAATAGAATATGAGTAACTAAGACAAAGAAATAAGAGAGTTGAGAGATATGAGGAGACATGAGGAAACGAATCTTCTAAGGTTCAGAGATGGGAAGAGATCACAGCCCTGTCTAGTTTGGGCATCTTTTTGGACTTTTATCTTTCACCATATATTTTATCTAAAATTTTTTTGTATGTAATTTTGATTAAATATAGCAAAATATCTAATAAACTCAAAACATCAACCACAGTTTTACTTATCTATCTAGATTGATCAAAATATTCTAGCTTCTGAGTCAATGAAGCCAGAGAAAATGATAGAAATATTAGGATTACTGGCAACAGTTTTACAGACTGGTAAATGTTTTTTCCTGGATGTATTTTTAGAATCCATGTAGAAAGATGACTGAAAGAATCTCGAAAACAGCCAATATCTCCATGGTAGAATCACAGAAAGGATTTTTTACATTTCCAAGTAACTGCATTTTAGGGATTACATGCCAATATAAATTTAAATGAAAATATGTTTGTCAGGAATGTTTTAGGTTCTAGTTCAAAAGATTTTTTAAAACTATAAGCAATGTTTAATTTTAAATTACCTAGGAAAAAAAAGTGACTTTATAAGTGAACCTTTCCAAATGCAATCACTGAAGGCTAAACGTCACCAAGTGAACCTCTCTTTCCTCCCATGGATGATGTGGTGCAGGGGAAGGACACCAAAGGGCACTATGATGCATCTTGCTCCTTCTGACAGTTCATTCAGTTACTTCTTATATGTTCAATATATTTTTAAACTTTGCTTGACCTTAAGAGATAAGCTAACAAAGCGTGTCTTCTTTGACCCATAATGTCACTACACCAGTCTGTGTGTATGTCTCTGCCACTTATCCTTTCACTGGAGAACTCAGGCAGCAAGAGCCCATGTGTTCATACTGATGCTATGTTTTTTCAGAACAAGATGTTCCAATTTCCCCACTAATATTTATTCTATAGCGAGGAAACTAATTTTTTTCTATCTCAAAAGATACAGACTTAACTGCATTTTTTCACATCAAGAGCCTGTTAAATAGGAGGGGAATAAATATATATCCATCTAAGACTATGATGATTTAAATAATAATAGTCACATTCTTTCTTGTAAGTGAATACCACACTGTGCCTCTTGTCGTATTCTTTAATTAGAAAAAAAATTTAATTTTAGAGATAATTTTCCCTTGGAACTCAGTAGGAGTTTAGAAATGATGTAATCATCTTATAGATGAGGACATTGTAAAGGCCCAGGGAGTTTGGGCTGCTAGCTAAAAATAGAGCCAGAAATCCAATGGTTTAGTCCTCTGGTTTTTCAAGATATTTTTAATATTGCACATTTTTATTTTCTAGCATGCTTTAACATATCAACAATATATGTTTATAATTGATACCACAGTAGCACATATTCTAAATTATATAAAAGACAAAGAATTATGTTAACTCATTGTTCTTTTCTTCCTTGCACAATTGGAACAATATTTGAAAAATATTATGTCCATCTCATTATTACAGGACACTTCAAATGTGAGTGTATTTTACTGTGCTTTGCAAATGTGGGTTATCTAAAGTATGTTATTTGAAATTAGCATGTCTTTACCTGAGTATGGCTTATGTTTTCTTTTTTGTCTCTGTGTCAGTAAGAAATTGTTTATCTAATTGTTTTACTGTTGGGCAGATCTTTAGTCAAACAAGTATGAAAACACTAAGGAAGAAATCTATTTTGCTTACTGGTTATATGGAGTACCTGATCAAGCATTACTACAGTAAAGATAAAGCAGCTCCAAGTAAGCCATTTGTCCAAATAATGACTCCTTCACATATAGAGCATCGAGGATGCCAGCTAACACTCACCTTTTCCATTCCGATGAAAAATGTTTTCCAAGAACTAGAAAAGAGAGGTGTGATCGTAAGTTTCTCTTTTTTTTCTTTCTTTTATACCTGGTTTTCCACTGGTTATATTTTGATGATTGATACAATCTGGATTTCATAGTCTTGTCACAGTTTTCATATTAATCAATTAACAAGTATCTGTAGTATTTCATATTCATGGTCACTGTGCTGGTAGCTTATATTGCTTTATAATTTGTGCAAAAATTAAAAAAATCATGTGTGTTTCTATGAAATAGGCTTGTCTACTGATTCTATTTAAATAAAGGTAACAGTTTGATAAAATGAAATGAATATTCCATCAATTTATCTCCACTTTAAAAAATATCTAACACATCTTTTTGCACATAATAATGCATACTGTTTAAATATTCAAGGTATATTTCTGCAAAATTAATTAATTTTTTAAAATTTTAGTAAAATTTTTCCTATCAACAACATACATTTAATAATTAGTACCAATGTAGTACAAATTCTAAGTGATATAAAAGACAATTATATTAACTTATTAGTTTCTTCTTTCTTGCAATAACACAGTTTGACTAACATAGGAATATTGAATATATTTGTTTATTGTAATTCTGTTATATAATATTATTGATACAACATAAATGGGCAGCCAGACAATTGGAAGGAAAATACTCTCTACATCTTGGATACACAAAAATAGCTAGGAGACCTCAAAATAAGTCAACAAATCCAATTCAACATTTATTAACTGCCTACTATGTTTAAAACATATTCCAGTCTATAACTAGTGGTAGAGCTTTACTTTGTTGAGTCAGATACCTTTATCGAATCTTTCTTTGTTCTGCTGCCAGTTCTCCCCTTCAGCCATGCGTTTAGAGGCAACCTCCAATGACTGGGACACTAAAAAGCTAGAAACACTAGAAAAGATAGAACTTTTGTCAGTCACTCTTCACTGACTCAGGAAGACATGAGAGAAGGGATGAGAGGGAGAGATATGGGGGGAGAGAGAGAGAGAGAGAGAGAGAGAGAGAGAGAGAGAGAGAGAGAGAGAGAGAGAGAGAGAGAGAGAGAGAGAGAGAGAGAGAGAGAGAAAATATAATAGGAGATAAAAAATCATTGCTTTGTGTACCCCACCAACCTCAAGCCCTACTGACCATTTTTATGGCTAGAGGTTCCTTGCACAATAACAATTCTTCGTGCAACCTGACAAAACCATGAGTATGTGGAGACACAATTTGAAATTCCTCAGGTAACTGTCTCTTTTACAAAATACTAAGAGTTGTAGAGCTTTGATTTGATTATCATAATTCTTTTGCTAAAAATACAAAATGAATATCTTGGGAAGTATTGATTATTATTATTATTAATATTATTAAACCAAAGCGGGGGGAAAGAGCTTGGATGCTTGGAATGAAGAGAATCGTAGACTTTCTAAATGCATAAAATCATGGAATTTTAAGCTAGAAAGAACTATAAATTGTAGTTCAATACCTCTTCCCCTTGAACCCAGGCCCATTTTAATGACAGGGGAATAGAAGGCAACATTAAGTGTTTTGTCAAAGTTAGATGTATAATAAATTGCAGATCCAAGACCAAAACCAAGTTATATAATTACACATGTAGTGCTCTTTTCCATATATCACATAGTAACTATGTGTCAGGAAAAGAATAACTACAATAATTAATAATATGGAATATTCTATTTTTCTTTAACAAAAGGCAGGAAAACAAAATTACCTTATGCTCTACAATAAAAGAAGGAAGGGGTAGAAGCTCAGTTGAGCTCTTACTCCCTAAGCTAAAATGTGCCTATCATCTGGACAGAAACTAAGCTGGGAATAAATAGATTTAAATATTTGCTTGAGCAATATTCAAGTTGAAAATAAGGATCAGTAGTACTTCATGAATGTGACATTCAGCTATTAATCTTAAAGTGGAAAGTGTAATGGACTAGAAATCAGAGAATCTGGGTTCAAGTTCTAGCTCCAGTACTTTGTGACCTTGAGCAGTCATATCATAACTCAGAGTCTTCATTTTTTCATCAGTAAAATGGAAATAATAATACCTTTTATGCCAACTGCATAGGGTTGTTTTGAGGCCAAATAAGATAGGGGTTGTGAAAGCACTTTGTAAATTGTGTTATATTAAATGTAGATAAGGACATATATTAGTACAGTGTATTCATAATATTGATATTTGGGAAAAGTATATATATATATGTATATATATACACATACATATATATGCATACACATATTATATATGTACACAAATATATGTATTTTTTCAGTATATAATAACACCCTGAGAAAAAACTTAAGGAAATAAATATTTATTGGTCTCCCTTCTAAGACTACAGTCCTCTTCAAAGTCTTTTCATATGTTCTCTCTCTGTCATACACATATATACACAAGGAGAGACATATATGTATTTTCCTCATATATTCTCTCTCTATATATAAAATCTCTCATATGTTATATGTATTTACTCATATTATTATATATAAACTTATGTATTCTCTCTCTGTAGATATGTGTGTTTGTGTATACATACATATCTATATCTATATACCTTGTACCTAACATGTAGTATCATTCCAAGTGTTCTACTGTATACTGACCAAAACATACTCAGAATTAGAGGGAAAGTTTACTATTCTTCAAATATTAACTTGTTTTTGCTTCAGTTATAAAGAAGAAAATCGTGATATTCTCTTGCCTCATAGATTTCTAAAAGTAAGAAAAAGTTCATCATTATTATGATAGTATGATATTATTATGATTATGTTATTAAATATTTTTACAATTTTACTACTGAACAATGGAAGTTTTATCACAACTTGTTCAGAATTTGTGTAGCTTCTTATAGATAAAATGCTACTACTAATAATATTTAAAATAAAAATAATGTAATGAAATACAATATGAAGAGGAGAATTTTCACTGGTAGCCTTTAGAAATAGGGCACAATAACTTCTAAGAATTTGAAATTCATAAAGGAACCTATCAGATCAGTTCCTTACAATATTTTTTAAAACTTCATTTCTCTAGGTGAAGATTGAACAATTTTTTTATAAACGATTCTTCACTTTCCAGTAAAAACCTGAGTAACAGTTATAGTTATTTTTTTTAAGAACTCTCATTTTTTTTTCAAAACCGTGTACTGTTCTTTATAATGTACATGGAGAAATTTTTTTTTTAAAGAAAATAAGGAAAGACATTTCTTTCAAGATGATATCTGAGCCAGGAATAGTGGCTCACTCTTATCATCCCTTCTGCTTGGGGAGGCTAAGAGTTGAGCTTGGGAGTTCTTAGATGCTGTAGGGTTAAAGTGATCAGGTGCCTACACTAAGTCCAGCATCAATATGGTGAGTCTTCAAGAGTCAGGGATATCAAGTTGCCTAAGGAAAGACAAAACCAGGTGAGATTAGAAGTAAACTAGGCCTGTCAAAGTTTCCATGCTGAACCACAGTGGAATTGGGCTTGGGAGTCTCCACTTCAATTTCAACCTGTGTAAGATTAAAAAAAAAAAAGACCATCCTTATCCTCCTCACCAAAAATGTTAGTATTTCCCCCCCATTTTTTTGCTTCATCTTATTTATGACTTATAATTAATAAAGTCATTTTCAACCATGAGACATGTCAGCAACTCTGATATGTATAAAGGAATATGGAAAGCACGCAAAGACTTTTTGAAAACTGTTATGTCTAAACTAAAGTAACATGTTATAGTAAAAAGAAAAAGTACTGGATTTGAAATCAGAAAATCAGGGTTGCAGTCTTACTTCAAGTACTTACTACCAATATGAACATAGGCAATTCACTTAATTCTTAATGTCTCAGAGCTTCAGTTTCCTCATCTGGATGCTACCACAAGATTGTTATAAGTATAGCATTTTGCAAAGCATAAAGTGTCATATAAAATTTAAAAAATATATGATTATTTTGCATAATATTTCTTAGGTGGTGAACGACATACTTAATTGATATGAAAAATCACTCCATGGCATAAAGGGAGAAATTTTAATTACTGGAAATACCATTGGTATTCTTAAATGACAGCCAGCACCAATACAGTCAATTTATTTGATCAGTTTAAACAGATCAATTAATTGAAAACAGCCACATCTGTTTTCTCAAATGAACTGATTTGTTATTTAATTTGTCAATCAGTCAAAGAGATTCAACTTCATTAATTCTTTTCTAAATATAGCCTGAGTACTACTCTTGCATTAAATAAAAATTTTACTCTATTTTATTGTGAAACTTTAATATTCTGGGAAGATTAATAAACTCATTTGTGAACTTGAGGAAAGAAAATGAGAACATAGTAATTTACAGAGAATTATCAGTATATGCTTTGTTGCATGGACCACAGAACTTTTCATTGTCTTAAGTCTTTCATATAATATTTCCTTAAGATGGAAGACAAGAACAAAAATAACTAATGAAGACACTGAATATGTCACTATATTTCTTTTCTTTCTTTTTTTTTTTTTTGGAGGCTATCAGGGTTAAATGACTTACCCAGTGTCACACAGCTAGTAAGTATATATGAGACTGGATTTGACTTCAAGTCCTCCTAAATCCAGGGCTGATAATCTAACCACTGCACCACCTAGCTGCCCCAATATATTTATTTTCTGGTTAATAGTTTCATTAAAATCATCTCAACCCGCTCTTGTTGCAGAATCTCCCTCTATGAATTCAAATTTTAAAATTGTAATGTATAATCTTAGAGATTTACCTGAGCCCCTGAGAAGTTGAGACTTGTTGGTGTTCACATACCTATAATGTACCAGACATAGGACCTTACTGTAAGTCTTCCTGACTCTGCAGCTATCCCTTTATACATTATGCCATATTGCTTCTCAGCAGTCTCATCAGTTAGTCAACAAACATTTAATAAGTGCCAGTTGTGTGCCAAGCACTGTGTTAAATGCTGCAGATAGGAATATGAAAGATAGCCCCTGCCCTCAAGTTGCTTACAATCAAATGGGGAAAGATGACACACAAAAGGAAGCTGAAAATGTAGCGAAAGAGATAAAAGGGAAACTTAGTGGTGGAGGCGGGTGGAGGGGTGGGAAAGGGAGTATAGTGGAGTCTAGCGTAAAGGAAATGAAGAGATGGTTGATCTGGAAACTCTCTTTAAATGGAGACTTGGGAGGCATTCTTCACTCTGTCCTACTCTACAGCCCTCCAATCAGAGAGACAGAGAGTACTTAGGATACTGATAAAATACTAGGACCGAGGCTGACATAACCCCAAAGAATGAAAAGTTTCCTGATATTTAGCTTAAATGAAGACAGTTTAAATAAATCTTTTAAATAACTCATAATAAATGGAGACAAAACTTATTTTGTAGATATTATGAAATATGACTAAAATCAGTGAGGTCAGAGTTGAGGTGGAATAAAAATGTATAAACATTTTGTCTCACAATAACCATATGAGAAGCACAAATCTGTGGAAAAGGGACAGGAAAGATGTCAATGATTTTGATTATTTATATGCAAATTAAATAATTAAGATTCATTATTCTTTAGTGGAAGTGGGGATAATAATAGCATGTACTTTTCAGAGTGGTTATGAGGGCAAAATGAGACAATATTTGTAAAGTGCTTTACAAACCTTAAAATACTGTATAAATGTTAGTTACTACTACCAGTAGTAGTACTAGGAGCAGCTAGGTGGCACAGTGGATAAAGTGCTAGCCCTGGGGTCAGGAATACTCATCTTTGTGAGTTCAAATCTGGCCTCAGACACTTACTAGCTGTGAGATCTAGGCAAGTCACTTAATCCTGTTTGCCTCTGTTTCCTCATCTGTAAAATGAGTTAGAGAAGGAAATGGCAAACTGTCTCTGCCAATTAAAGCCCAAATGGGATCACAAAAAGTCAGATATGATTGAAAATGACTGAACAACAACAAAAACTACTATTATTATCATTGTATAATCTGCTTCATGAGTGTTTGTTCTGTTCATTTGGATTCATTATTGCTGGGATAGAATGTGAGCTCAGATCTACTACACCCCAGAAATTATGTTGTAATGGTGACTACTACTATATTTGTTTAAAGAGTGGGTCATCTAATTGGATTTTCAGTTTCCAATCAGTCATTTACCTAGAACTGCTTCTTAGTTACAGCATTGAGGTTTGCACAGCTAGTCCAATATATGCCTGAAGATTTTAGGCATTTCTGGCACTATCAATCTATCTATGTATCTATGTATGTCTCTATCTATCTACTTACCTACCTACCTACATATACACATAATAGCTAGCATTTATATGGCATGTTGAAATCTGCCAAGTATTTTACGTTATCTTCATTTGATCCTTATAACACAACGATCTTGTATAGTAGGTACTGTTATTATCCTCATTTTATACATGAGGGAACTTCAGTGCTTTAATATATTAACTAGCTATAAAATTACATATATATGCATATATATACAATTTTGCAAAATGTTAACTTTTAATAAACTTCTAAAAAGTAATGAATATATGTATGTGAATATATGTATATATACATATGTGTGTGTGTATAAAATCTTTATCGTATACATAGTGCTTTAATCGGGATTTGGAGAACACTTCCTAGTAACATAGAGACACCAATAAATGCTATCCTATTCTTAACACAGTGAAAAATACTTAGCTTTTATGGAATTCCCTAATGAACAAAATATACATATTTAATCATGGTGATTTGTATGCTTTTATGGTAAGTTCACTATGGCTTTAGATTTTCTGGGACTATTTGTATCATCTCTTTGATAGACATAGTTGAGCCACGTAAGACAGTAATTCCTTTCTTTATTCTTTTTTCAGTGTGACACACGGGAACCAAGTGGCATTCGAGTGGCTCCAGTTCCTCTCTACAATTCTTTCCATGATGTTTACAGATTTATTAGTGTTCTTGCCTCTGCAATTTCTGCTGCAAATCTAAAATGAACAAATCTATTTTTAGCTCAACAAGCCTAATTATATTAGTGTCTCTGCTGTCACTTTCTGGCTACTTCTGATTCTAGCAACGTAGTCCTTTAGAAGTGATGGTGTTAAATAAAGCCAATTATATGGAAAAGAAAAAAAATGTGTTGGGATTTTTGTAAGAGCCCTTTGTCATTTTTTTAGGAGAGTTAGTGTGCTTGCTCATTGTATTGGGCCAGGGAGAGGTTATCTACTGTGATTTTGTTTAAAATAGAGGTTTGCATTGTCTGTAAGTCAGATGTTGCTATTTCGTATTCAGTAAAATATTGTGAGTTGATTTCAAATACAACCTGAGGGATAGTTTCAATTTTGTTTTAGTCATTGACTTCGATTCTGATAACTATAAAGCTTTATTTCAGAAGTATTGTTTTAGTTCCAGTTTATCCAAGAGGTAATGTTCAGTATGTCTTTTGATAGCATTGATATATGTCCAAGCACTTTAGCAATGGCCCCCCTGCTTTCAAACTAAGGAAAAGGAAGTATATTTTCCACTGTGTGTCCTTATATCTGTAATACCTTTTCTTTCACTGCTCATGCTATACAATTCTGCCTTTTAACTTGATCATCCCTTCATCTCAGTGTCCAGAAAAGACACAAAAACAATTGCAAGTCTATTTTTCCCTTTCAGTATCTATTCCACTCTATCCTTAAAATGTGTTGGAGGTTGAAAAGCAAGAAAGGAGTGAAGGGAAGGATAAGAAGGAAGTGAGCCTGAAATATTTCAGGCAGAAATTGTGGAGATTGGGAAACAAGTATACTCTTGCCCTGTGATTCCCAAACGTGCTCCAACTACATTAACTTCTTCAGAGCCCCTCCTGAGTAATTGCCTCTGATTCCTATCTTTAGTGCACAATATTGGATTCCATAATTATTTTTTATGGATGTTGAAGAATACTTCATATCCATGGACAGCAACAAAAAGGTAGGGAGGAGTGGAAGAAGCAATGGTCTGGAGTGCATCCTCACAGCTCCTGTTTAAACAAGCTTGACCATACTGTTCTTCTGGCCCAGATGGGAAACAATTCTTAGTAGCAATCAGTGAAGAGAAACAGGCTCTGACTAGGTGCTTGACTACAAAATAGCTTTTGCAACCATTTCCACTATAACTTTGCGTCAAAACTACATCAGTGAAGTCAGAGGAGTCTTCAAAATATGCAAATGTGTCCTTTGCTACTTCACACTATTTAATTTCTTAAATATTTTAAGATTGGGCCATTCCTTCATGATAAAATTTTTTTTGCGTTTAGTTTTAGTAGTGATTTGGGGTTTTTTGGGGGGAGTGGTTGTTACAGATGAGACTTGACTTTTTTTTTTCAGAGAACTCTCAGCGCACAAGTTCATTTTGCTGATACAAAGAACTATTTCATCTGTTCCATTTAGTCTCAGAATTCCAACTAAGGAATTGTTACTTACTCATAATTACAGGTAGCATGTGTCAAAGGCAGGACTTGGATCCATCACTCTAAATTGAAATCTCTAACTCAAATTCATGACTGTAAATCTGGTCTTCTATCCACCGTACCAAACTGCCTCATGTCTGTACATATATTACCTATGTATGTATATACGTACATATATATGTATGTACCGATGTGGTATATGAGGGAAGAAATAGTGATAAAACACAAAATCAACACAAAAGCACAGGAACAACTCAAAATGTAAAGGATTCTAGGATTTAGAGATGCAACTGAGTATGGAGCAGCCATCTCGTCCAGCTTCCTCCTTCTACAGAAGAGAAACTCATTGCCAGAGACATCAAGAGATTTGCCCAATTGTATACAGGTATTAAGTAGCATGGCTGGGGGACTCAATATCAGGTTCTTTGACTTTACATATGATGCATTTTTTAAATGTTTATTGAATGAATGAATGAAAATGGATTGTACAGTTCCCTGATTTCTTAAGGTCTATGTTAGTGCTTCAATGATATTTGAAGCATACTTTATTAAGCATAATATAATTAAAAAAAACCCCAAACATTTTCCTGTTGATAATGAGCATGTTTATAAACTTTCACTAACATGCTACGCTGTGATTTAGTGTTAGCATCAAGGACTGTTCATGTGTAGTATTACACATATGTAATATTGCATATTTCCTACATTAAGTGATCCTAGAATGCTGTGCTATTTAAACAGTAATTCTTGTGTTCTGTTCTTAATATGCTTAATTCTATCCTATTTTATACTTAGATATGTAAGTAAGGACCAAAAATGGTTTCACTTCTCAAAAGAGCCTAATGCATGAGCTTTTTTATACCTTTTTGCTGTTCAGAGGGTTTCTATACTAGATAATTCAGGGTTCGTGGCTATAAGGGTTCATGAATGTATTCTGAAAGATTGTAAGCATCAGAAGTCAGATAACCTAGACATAAATAAATAACATACCATCATACTTCAGGACATCATCTCTCCAACCACCAGAAGAACCTACACTATTAGATGTTAGAGCCACTGGGTTAGGACACCATGTTAATGTAACCAGTTTGATGTGTCTCCTGTGATAAACAGTTTCCTGTGTAGACCCCTTAGCTATGTTCTGCTTTATAGATATAACTTATACTCCTAATTATGGCTAGCCACCTTGTAAATATGTGCCACTGGTTATCAGGTAATAGGTAAAAGGCATAGGATGCAAGGATCAACACAATGTCATCATCACTGATGAAAAAAAAAAGCATATTTTTGTTTGGCACAAAAGTAGCAATATCTTCATATGTGAAGGAAAGTATGTATTTTATATATATATATATACACATATATGTATATATTCATATTTGGAAAGAAAAAATGTTAATTATATTATGAGTATTTACATATATATTCTGAAATTACAGTCCTAGAGAGTGAATTTTTCGTGCGAAAGGAGAGACTTTTATGCAGCAAACATCAGCTAAAATGAGAATCAGAAATAAACATGTGCCCAGTTCTAATCAATATCTATTTGACAACCATTGTGAGCATGATACTAAATGGTAACACTTAAGAAAGATATATATATATATATATATATATATATATATATATATATATATATATATATATATGGTCTTTGTGATCTTAGTCAATAATATGATATCAGAGAGACAAGTGAGAAAACAAAGATCGTCTTTTCATCAAATAGTGAAGGTGGTCAACCATGTTAAAATATATATTTATTAACATATACTACTAGTATATGATCATAAATTTAAGAGACATTAGAGGTTAGGTGGGAAGTACACGGCAAAGAAGGGAGATGATGTATATTGGATTTTAAAAATTATTTATAGGAAAACATTAAAAATGGTTTTTGATGAAAAAGTAATTTTTAATTTTGAAAAATTACATGGAATTAGAAGGAAAGGGTATCATCATCATGAGCTAGTGAAATCTTTTGAACTTGTGCATTTCTTACTGTGGTACCTCTTAGTGCATTTCCATTTTAAAATATGCTATATAATCGCTGGGTCTAGAAAAGAGTAGTTAACTTTTGTTGTTCAGTTTTAATGTTATAATCTTCATGTGCATACAAATGTTTTGAAATTCAAATAAAAAATTCTGTTTTATTATAGATGTTAGTTTTCAGGAAATTGCCAGGATTAATGGTCCATGTACAAAGATTTGATTTAAACAGAACAAAAACAAAAATACACTGTCTGACTTCTTGCTTTGATGATTCAAAGATCTTTCTCACATTATTTTGACAATTTAAAAGAAAGCACTAAGAAGATGGTGGGGTGATAATACCTAAAGTAACTCAGTTTCCCTGCAAACACCTCAATAAAGGTTAAGAATGTACCAACTGAAAGAGAAATAAGGAGAATAACCTCTAAGTTTCTCTTACCTAGCCCAAAGATGCACCCAAGATCTTTCATAATCCTTCAGAAACTTTCATATGGACAAGGCACAAAGCAGTTCCAGGGCAACAGGATGGTCCCAAGAGGAGACCAGCATGCCTTGGAACCCAGACTGATACTGTAAAGCACAGCATACTCCAGAGGATAGTGGCAGGAGAAGGGCCCTAAGCAGAGTCCGGGTGCTCCCATGCCCAATGATAGGAGTCCAGCCTTAGGGCAGTCCCAGAGCAGTAGAGGGGAAGGTTTTCAGGAAAAGGCTAACACAGGTCACAGCCCTAGCAAGAGAGACCTTACGTAGAGCCTAGAGAATTCAATTTCACCATTCACAGTTCAAGGAAGAGTGGAAACTTTTCAAATTGACATAGTACCGCTGCCTGTCCATTCTGGTTTTCTTATGTCTTGCTTCCCATCATCTACTTTGAGATCCAGCGACACTAGCCACCTTGCTGGTCCTCCAACTAGACACTGGCTCTTTATTCAAAGTATTTCACTGGAGGCAGCTGGGTGGCACAGTGGATAGAGCACCGGCCCTTAAGTCAGGACGACCTGACCAAACACTTGACACTAGCGATGTGACCCTGGGCAAGTCACTTAACCCCAATTACCTAAAAAACCAAAACAAAAAAAAAAGTATTTCACTGGCTGGCCCATATCTGGAATTCTCTCATGCTTCTCTGTTAGCTTTCTTTGCTTCTTCCAAGTCTTAGCTAAGGTCCCACCTTTTGCAATAGGCCTTTCCCAAGGTCTGGTTTATAATCAGGCAAGGCGGAAGTGATATCAACAATTTGAACCCTTAATCCCTTTACTCAACCAAGTCTTGAGGAATATCTTGATACCTTTTAACTAATTTTCCATAAAAGGTATTGAAGCCACAGGAGTCTTGGTTAGCATAGGACACTAAAAGTTGAAGCTGTTGATATCTTTTCTTTGACTGGGTACTCTTGGAGTGGCTATGAGGAGCTCAATAGTGCTCTAATGTGAGTAACTCAGGCAAAGGAGCTTAGACAAGCTGGATCAACTCAAGGTTTCCTCAATGTCTATCGGTCAGTCAATAAGCATTTGTTAAACACCTACTACATGCTGGATATCGTGCTAAGTGCTGGAATAGTTCCGTAAATCTAGGACAAAATCCTAACTTCTACAAAAAAAGAATTTTTTAGCCTTTCTTAATCTTAATGTCTTCCTTCTGAGATTACTCCCAATGTATATATCTTGTTTGTACATAGTTGCTTGCTTAGGCTATTAAATACTTGAGAGCAAGG